ATATTGAGTATGACGTGTGGCAGAAAATTTCTGTGAATATTTTTTTAAACAATTTTTATTATAATCACCAAAAGCCTCAAATTATTATCAAGAATATATACCATTTCTAGCAATTTCGGATCTAACCAAGTTTTCTTCAGACTGAAATACAAGTCATCATCTTCAAAGTTCTTTGCATTGAACCAAAATAAAAATCCAATATTAATTATTCAATATTTTATTAATGTCTCGCGTCAATGTAATGTGTTTCCTTTTATCTCTTGTAATCCGACCGCTAGATGAATTCTATACTTTTCTATTTTAACGTTCCATTACTTTTTCCACATAATAAACTACTAGATTTCTGAAAGAAATTGCTAAACAATACTTTTTTCAATTTTTCAACCCAAAATCAGATAATATGGAACCTATCCAAGATTTCGATTTTGGAGCTAAAGACGTGTCTTTAGATTAAAATATCGAAAAATCAAATACATTTCTCTTCACGTTGTCTACTTTATTAGGGCTCATATGAGATTAAAACAGGTAAGATTTTGCTTCGAATTTGAGTAATATTCACACGTATAATACTATACTAAACTTTGATAATCTAAGTTTATTGCGCTGATGAGTCACTTAAATATTATGAGTACTTTTCGACGTAGCTATATTTATGTCTAAATTTGTACTGGAAAATTTCGAAAGTTTAATATTTTTTTTATACTTAAATTTTTGAATATTTATTAATTTCGAAGAAAATTTTAAATGTAACTGTGGTCTTACACTTTACATTAGGTTATTTATTAAAATGAAGCATATGAAGTCATTTAATTACGACCGACGCTTAATTTGGATCAAATAATCAGGTCAATTCGACCAGCTCGAAAGTTATCTATGAATATTACAAGAAAATCAATGAGTTATGCTGTTTGAATTAAATGGCTAAGTATAAATAATATTGACTTGAATCAAGAATTTGATGAATCATCCTAAGAATCTTTAATAGTGTATTAGATCGCGAAGTATAGAGATGATTTGATCTGTCAAAAATTAATCCTTATTAATGCTTATTTACCAGCCTTTTTATTTTTGCTGTAGCTTATAAACGCTTTCTAAAACTGATTCAGATTCAAGTTTCCCAGAGATTCTAGTGCTTTTAACGATTTTCACCATTGCAGCAAGTAATACTTTTTATTTTATTTTATTAGTTTTTTTCCTTTTTTTTCGTTTCTATTTTTTTTTTTATTTAGATCTTTGGTTTTTAGACGGAAAATTTAGAAGTATTGCTTCTTTATTAGTACTTCTTTGTATGTACTTTTATTACTTAAAGACGGGTTTCATATTGTTTTAAAAAACAATTATGAAACATTTTTTTTTTATATAAAATAAGCAGTATTTTTAATTCGTTTTAATTGATCGACAAATCACCTGAATAACACCAGGTTTGATTTTGCATTCGATAATTTAAAAAAATTTGGTGATTATGCAATCAAAAAGCATAATATATACTGTAAATATAAATATAAGAAAGCGCAATTAAAATTGAACCGAGTTTGCTGCACTAATATGCTTTAAGACATTTTTTTTTACGAATTTTTATGCATGAATACTTTAAATGTTTTTTTTTGATTTTAATGTATAAAAATTTTAAACTTGACTATAAATTCTTAATCGATTTCTGAGGAAAATCTCATTTATTATGAAATTTTAACGTTACCGATGATCAACCGGTTAAACTAGAGTATTTATGGAAATTCATTTACATATGGGAAATGTTTAACCGAGGGCTGAAAAAATAAGCCCCTTTATGCAGCTTTTTTTTTTTTTTTTTAAAAATTAAAAACCAAGATTTAATCGCACGCAAAAAATGGTTTTAAAGAACAATCTAGAAAAAAACCTAAGAGACTTGGAAACTAGAATTAAGGAATTAGAGCAAAGTAATGAAAGGATTTGTTCACAATTCAACCATTTAGAAGAAAAGGTTAGAGAGAGAGAAGAAGAAACCAAAACCAAAGAAGAAATTATTGTATATTTAGAAGAAAAGGTTAGAATACAAGAAGAAATAACCAAAGCTAATCAAGAAATTATTAATGAAATGGAAGGAAGGATCAGCAATTTTGAATCATTAATTTATGATACAATTGATAGTTTAACTATTACAGATACCAATAAGGATAACATATTAAATACCTCAGATGGATTGCAAAGATTTCGAAAATTGACAAAACTCTCTTGTAACAATTCTCAAATCACTAGCCTACCAACTCTACCTAACTCCTTAATGGAACTTAATTGCTCTGGTACTAAAATAACTGTACTACCTACTTTACCCAACTCCTTATCGAAACTTAAATGCTCTTTTACTCGAATAACTATCCTACCAACTTTACCTTACTCCTTAATGGAACTTAATTGCTCTTCTACTGAAATAACTAGTCTACCAATTTTACCCAATTCCTTAACAGAAATTAAATGCTCTCGTACTGCAATAACCAACCTACCAACTTTACCAAACTACTTAACAGAACTTAATTGCTCTTATACTAAAATGACTATCCTACCAACTTTACCAAACTCCCTAACGTTACTCAATTGTGGTAATACTAAAATAACTACCCTTCCAACTTTACCAAACTCCTTAACGGTACTCAAATGTTATTGGACTTGCATAATCAGCTTACCAACTTTACCCAACTCCTTAATGGAACTTGATTGCTTTGGTACTGAAATAACCAAACTACCAACTTTACCGAACTCCTTAACGGAAGTTGATTGCTCTTATACTATAATAACCAAATTACCAACTTTACCCAACTCTTTAACAAAACTCATATGTTCTAACACTAAAATGACTATACTACCAACTTTACCTAACTCCTTAACGGAACTTAATTGCTCTTATACTAAAATAACCAAAATACCAACTTTACCCAACTCCTTAACGGAACTTGATTGCTCTAGTACTCAATTAACTATCCTACCAACTTTACCAAATTCTTTAACAAAACTTAGTTGCTCTAATACTTCAATAACTATCTTACCAAATTTACCCGAATCCTTAATGAGTATTAAACCTGAATCTTTAAAAGACTCAACGATTCCATAACATTTCCTAAATCTTTAGCCTGTTCAATATCTTCTTGAGGAGTTAATGATATGATTTTTTTCTCGTATTTAAAACTCTGATGTGTGCAGCGCAACTCTAACTGCACCTATTTTTTTAATTACTAGTGAACGCATAATTATATAATACAAAGATTGTAAGTTGATAACTATCTTCAAAAAAAGGTTGTTCGCTTTTTAAAGAAGCAACCAATTACAATTTACGGTCATGAATAATTTCATGACAATTGTTTCACATATGATATCATAAATCTTACCAATAAATTAAAATAAATAACTATTGAATACAAATATAATTAAATTGAATGATTTCATAGTATAAAAATAGAAATAATAATGTTTTTAAATACTACAAAGCAAATAATAGATAGTGATTATAAAAAAAAACTTGAGAAAATATTTCTTTGTATATTTAAATTTTTAGGCAAAGCTACTATTATAAAAACAATTTATTTTACTACGACTATATATTTTGGGTTTCTTTTGAGAAATTCAGAAAAGGAGATCTATGACTTAGTAATTAAGAAATATGGGAGATCGTTATCTTAAAATGAAATCTGTCAAAACTACTCTTCTGTAATCCTATCTTATCATGTTAATCAGTTATTTTGAAACTTTAACACAATTCAAAACCACTCACTGCTCGAATGGTATTGTTAAAAATTATGTGATCAAAGTCAAATTTTGAACAACAATTAGCAGGATCAAATTTGAATAATGAAATTTGGAATTTATTTTAAAATCTAATTAACATAAATTAAATATTATAAAATTTGATAGCCGAAGAAATTTAATAAATAAGCCAAATATTTTAATAAATAAGCCAAAGTAAAAGTCCAAATATTGAAGCCTAATCCGGCCCAGATTTTAAATTAAGTAAGTATTAAATTGTTAGCCTAATCTGATCCGAACTTAAATAAAATATCTGCCCAGCCTAGGCCAGATTTAATAATATAATTAATTTATGCTATTTTGCGATGCAAAATTTAATAATTCAAGGAAACATTAAGATTATAACTTTAACAAAATTAATAATTACATAATAGCTTTATTACCAACATCTTTCATTTAGTATCGGTTATTCAATGTTCTAATATCAAAGATATGGTTTTTGGCGAGTATTATATTCCAAAGTATGATAAATTAAAAAGGTATTTTGATTAAAACTCTTCATTCATTAAATAAAATATTTGCCTTTCAGTGCTGTGTTAGATATTGTATAGATAACAAATTGGCTTCAAGTGAGTTTAGAAATTTTACTATTCAAGATTTTAAATTCAAAAAAAGTTAATTATAGTTGGAGACCTGATCCATATCTTTAAATAATTTCTAAAGTTGAAGCTTAATTGTATTTACGCTCCGAAAAAATGAAATAAATGGATTATTAGATGATAAACGCTGTATTCAGAAATTAGTTATTATATTAAGTTTTCACAATAGCTATAATGCTTTCGATCATTTCTCTGATTTTATTTTGAATATGAACCAAATTCTTTGAAATATTGAATTTCCGCAGCCGTACTGAAGCGAAATACGAAACAACGAAACCTATTAAGAAATTTTCTGATCAACTTTATTACTACAACGGAGATGTATTTTATAATTTCTCTGAATATGATATGATCTTTGAGTTGATTGCTTTAGTATATAAGTTTGGAAACATTATCGAAATGTATTATCCATTTCTTTTTATTATAATAGTTTAAAGTAGGAATTAATTTCCTTTATATTAAAATCCTGTATTTGATAATAGACCCATAGAATAGGTAAATTAATTTCGAGTTATTTGTAATTGGGAAGAAAACGTTATGCGTGCTGCTTTTAATGTAAGGTAAATAATTTTATTTTTTAATCATTTGATAAAACCAATATATTTTATTATCCCATCCCATTTATACTTACTCAAGCACGTAAAAAGTTGCAAAACTAGTTTCGATCAAATTTCCGTCATTATGACATTTTGGATCCGTCAGATCGGGAATAGTGCTGGGAAAAGGGACCAAATTGAAAACTTTTTCAATAATTAATTCCTAAGTGAACAACGTTTATTATTATTATTTATAAAAGTATTTTTATAATTTGTTTCTTTTCTCAACTCTCACCTCACAGGTTATTTTTACTATCCCATACCCAGCCTTAATATTTTAAAGAATTGCCGCAGAATTCTAGATCAAAGATTTTAATATACCGGCACTGAAATAGACTTCATTTCACTTTTGTATCAGGAAGAATTAGTTTAAATTCTCTTCTATTATTACAGAGCACCGGATGAGGCAGTAACAGTTGGATCCTTTGTATTTTTATAAGAAAATCTTGCCCTTGTCTATTCTTGTTATAAATTGGGAGGTAAGCTATTAAAATCACGTTACGATTTACTATGTTCGTAACTCGATTTTAATAGCAAACCTCCTAAATTATTAAATTGTCCAAATCGTAAAATATCTTATCTCTACGAAATTAGGAGGTAATACTTAATTATCATATTTATTAGAACGAAACGAACGAACTTAAACTTCTTTCATTTAATTCTCATTTTTTATATATATAAAAAAAAGAGGTAAATTACCGCATCAAAAATGCAGATGTCTAATTTTAATAGTGATTTCACTTTTTAGATCAATATAGAACGTTTCCCTAGTTAATCTTTCCACTTTGTCACCATAAGTTCTTCACAATCATTCATACTTCTATCGTCACCCTATCATAAATTTGGTTTAGAATAAGAGAATATTGGTAAAGTAATATTATTCATCTGTTTATGAATATTATTTGATGATTGGTATTTTGCGTTAAAGATTAAAATCAAATTATGGTCGTGAAGGTTGAACCCACTACAGAAAACATAATTCTTGTACATCAAGAGCAACATGGATTAATAAAAATCTTATCTACATTACATGAAATTTTATCCTAACCAAACTTATTAGAAATACTGTTGAATCTTTCTTTCTTAGATATGAAATTGCTTTAAATAGTACATTCTCTTGATAATAATTTGAGGCTTTTTAGTGAATGATAAAATTTCTGTTTCACATGTGATACTTACTCAATATTATTTATTTATATTATATTCTAGATTATATGTATATAGTAAATAAATAGGATTTTTTTATATAAATAAATTTTCGCTGTTATAATCAATAGTACAAAATGCCAATTTGGATTGAACATAAAATCCTTGTTAATTGTCAACGGTAGTGTAAATGTAGCAAATGAATTCGTCTGAATATTATATATTGGGTAAAATAATTATATTACGTGGTTTATGTGTGAATAAGAAGTATCGGTTATCGTGATTACTTTGTCCTGATGGTTCCTGATGGTGATAGAACTCCTATAAACAGTGATGGCAAGTGACCGAAATGACCTCAAATGACTAGGTCATTCGATAGTCATTCAGAGTTCATTTAAAATTATCAAATAGCCTGGTCATTTGCCCATCACTGCCTATAACTGCAATGCATAATCATTGTAATCATTGATGTTTGTCGGGAATAAAAAGTTTGCGCAATAACCCAAAATTTTATTTACAAATTCCGTCTAAGTGTTCAAGAACATTATTATTTTGAATGTGAAAAGATGATGATGTTAATTCCTATTGTTAGACGAGATTTAACAAAAGAAAGCAGATGAAATAAATAAATTCCTATTCTCTTAATATTTATGTAAACAATTTATTTTTATTTAGCAATCTATGTGTATTTTCTTTTATAGTACAAAATAATTGTAATAAATAAAGAAAACAATTTGCTTATTTTACATTTTTATTTGCAATTGACTGTCCGTTCGCTTTATTCTTATACGTCTTTATTTTTTTCAATATTAATATTAAACTTTCAGTTTGATGCATTTTAATTTATTAATTGAATTTATTTTAATGCGTCTTAAGTATTATATATTGGTTTTATTTTACTGTTGCTAATATTTTTCTTTTTTCTTGAAAAACGTGTGCTATTACATGAAAGAGACAGTATCAGGAATAAAATTCGGAGTTATGAACTTAGAATGCATTTCATTAATTCGATATTTTTTATTTTTTAAAAAAAAAAAATAAAAAAAATTAAAATGCTAAAACTTTTATTAAAAATTTTTTTTGGAATTATTTCGATTTTCCTATAATTATAATTTTTTTTTCTTTATTGTCACGATCTTCCCTTTTGTACTCGGAAGAATAAACATAAATGAATCTATATTTTCGAATTTCTCAAAAACAAACCCGAACATTAGAAACCGACCGTTTTTGATCGACCGATTTTAAATTTGTCTAATAATTTTACTCAGAATTTATATACTACCTTTTTCAAAATTTTTGTCCGCTTTATAAGTTATCTATAATTACAAAGTAATTAAACAAAGAAAGAAAAGCGGAAATTAATTATTAAAAATCTATAATAATAAAAAAATACATGTAGATCATTAAACGTTTAGAATACTTGTATAAATAAATTTTTAAATTGTGTGACCCTTAATTTTCGTTACGTTTAGTTCAACGAAATTCAGAGAAGAAATTTTCTATTTTAGCGTAGTGGTGATCAGGTCACTAAACATATTTGGCTACAAGAAAAGTATGTCCGATTTTACTATGGTTCATCTCTTAGCTTGCAATGGAAGACTATAGATTTGTAATTAAAATTTTCTTTTCTTCTTTTCTCTTTGAGTACTTATTATTAATCCAGAAATTCACAGAAATGCTTTATTTAGTAAAAAATAGTAGTATAATTATTTAAATTTATGTGGCGCAGCGTTACCACGGATTTTTTTTTGTTAATAAATTTCTTAAAGTTTTAATAATAAAAAAAGTTTGTTAAATACAGTACAAATAATTCTTAATTTACTAATTAAAATATTACATCGATTTTTTTGGATGCTTTACCGAATTTACTGAATTTTCATTATGATAAAGTATTTGGAGGGGCAATTTTTATTGATAATTGTATTGTTCGTTCGTTTGATTGATCGACAAATCACCTGTATCTAAAACGGCGATAAGTTTTTGCATTCGATTATTCAAAAAAAATTTTCAAAGTATAAATATATATTTTTATAAGATAGGCAGCCACATTTTGCTACATTTTGGTGGATAATCTTTTTAGGTATTGATTTTCGTTTTAATATAAATATTAATTTAACTGCAACCAACGAATAGTAATAAAATAGCAGGTACCTTTATTAGGAAAGTAACGTTACCGATGATCCATTATATATAACCGATGGCTGAAAAAATAAAAGCCCTTTTGCAGTTTTTTTTTTTTTTTTTTTTTAAAAAAATTAAAAAAAAATATATTATACCAGAATAAATAAATTAGTTTAGTCTAAGATTTAATTGCACGCAAAAAATGGTTTTAAAGAACAATCTAGAAAAAAACCTAAGAGACTTGGAAACTAGAATTAAGGAATTAGAGCAAAGTAATGAAAGGATTTGTTCACAATTCAACCATTTAGAAGAAAAGGTTAGAGAGAGAGAAGAAGAAACCAAAACCAAAGAAGAAATTATTGTATATTTAGAAGAAAAGGTTAGAATACAAGAAGAAATAACCAAAGCTAATCAAGAAATTATTAATGAAATGGAAGGAAGGATCAGCAATTTTGAATCATTAATTTATGATACAATTGATAGTTTAACTATTACAGATACCAATAAGGATAACATATTAAATACCTCAGATGGATTGCAAAGATTTCGAAAATTGACAAAGCTCCATTGTAACAATTCTCAAATCACGAGCCTACCAACTCTACCTAACTCCTTAACAGAGCTCTATTGCTCTGAATCTCAAATAATTAGCTTACCTACTTTACCTAACTCCTTAATTCATCTTGACTGCGAAAAAAATCAAATAACTATCCTAGAATCTCTACCTAATTCCTTAATGGAACTTAATTGCTCTTCTACTGAAATAACTAGCCTACCAATTTTACCCAACACCTTAACGAAATTTAAATGCTCTCGTACTGCAATAATCAACCTACCAACTTTACCAAACTACTTAACAGAACTACATTGCTCTTATACTAAAATAACGTTCCTACCAGCTTTACCAAACTCCTTAACGTTACTCAATTGTGGTAATACTAGAATAACTACCCTTCCAACTTTGCCAAACTCCTTAACGGTACTCAAATGTTATTGGACTGACATAAATAGTTTACCAACTTTACCCAATTCCTTAACGGAACTTGATTGCTCTGGTACTAAATTAACCAAACTACCAACTTTACCAAACTCCTTAACGGAACTTAATTGCTCTTATACTGAAATAACCAAAATACCAACTTTACCCAACTCTTTAACAAAACTCATGTGTTCTAATACTAAAATGATTATATTATCAACTTTACCTAATTCTTTAACAGAACTTAATTGCTCTTATACTGAAATAACCAAAATACCAACTTTACCCAACTCCTTAACGATACTCAGGTGTTATAGGACTAAAATAATTAGATTACCAACTTTATCCAACTCCTTAACGGAACTTGATTGCTCTAGTACTCAATTAACTATCCTACCAACTTTACCAAATTCTTTAACGGAACTTAATTGCTCTGATACTTCAATAACTAGTTTACCAAATTTACCCGAATCCTTAATGAGTATTAAACCTGAATCTTTAAAAGACTCAACGATTCCATAAACTATCTGCACTATTTCCTAAATCTTTAGCCTTGTACATAACTTTCTTAAATGTTCAAATTTCTCTTGAGGAGTTAATGATATGATAAGCTTTCACATATTAATCTGATTGTTAGATTAGATTACTTTATCCTAAGTGGTATTTAACTTTGCAATACAAAAACAATTTGAATGTTATTTTCTTTAAAAATTAAGCATTTCTTTTATCCTTAAAATACATATTCGTCATTAAATTATTTTATGCAGCATTTTATAATAATTTCTTTACATACCTATATGACTTGTCTTATGGTTAAGAATCCTCTGTATAGCAGACTTTTAACCCTCTTAGGTTTCAATGAATACCAGGGCCTCATTCCCTAGCCAAGGACCAAGAATTCCTATCATTTAATATGAAATTGCTAATTTAGACATTTGTGAATTATTGTGAATATAATGATATTTGAACCTTATTTTTCATTTTCTAATTTTACATACATTTTATTTTTTAAAAATATCTAATAATATTAAATTAAAAGATTTAATGTTTAATAACTTACTATTTATTATATTATTGATTAATTAAATATTTTTTTTAATAAACCATTCAGTTGAGTTTAAATTACAGTAAAAAGTATAATTAATTAATAAAATAACTTAAATGCTAATAAAAATATATTTTTAAAATAAAAAATTAGTTAATTTAAATTACAGTAAAGTATAATTAAATATAATCAGTAAAAATAACTAACTATTTTCTGATAATTAATAAAAAATAACTTACAATCTAAATTTTAAATATATATAAATTCTAATTTAAATTATAATTAATACTAATAATCATTAAAATAATTTAATAATATTTTATTTTTAAATAAATGTTAGTTAATATTAGATAAAATTTTATAAAAATATAATTTAATACTAGTATTAATAAAAATAATTTACTATCTATTATATTAATAATTATAGTTCAGCCAGATAGGATTATACCAATTTTATTGTATCAATATTTATTATAATTATTCTATATAAATATGATTATACAATAATAAGCTAATTAATTTTTAAATATACTATTTCTATTTAAAATTATATAATTATTAAATATTTTATGATAATTTATATGTAAATTTGTATTTGCTAATACTTCAGATTTTAATAATTCCTGAAATTATGCAGGTTTTATTTCAATTTTAATTTGATTATTAGATTTTAAAGAAATTTGAGAAATTTTAGCTCTATAAACATAACATTTTAATAGTTAGATTACTTAAATACTAAAAAAAAATAAATTTAACTAAGAAAATGTTTTATATAATTATTTGTTAAGTAACAAAATAATATCTTCTTTTACAATTAAAATATTCTATTTACTTATATTTTATTTGTGTATATTAAGTTTATAGAAGAAATATTATTAGATACTATATTTGCAATAATTTTAATATTAAATAAATAGTTAACATTAAAAATAGAAAAAATTTGAAGAGCCTACATGTTTTTTTATAAATTTCACTTGTTAATGAAATCATCATATATTTGTTACTACTAATTATGAGGAAAAATATAAGATTGATGTCTTTGGTCAGCTTTATGATAAGATTAATATCTAATGTAATCTGTATTTTGGCCAAGATACTGTAATGCTTAAATTATAGTTTTTCTACTTATATGATTTGTAATCTTCATATTATCAAGATTAATCTCTGTCATAATATAAATTTCTTTTATTAATTTTTTAATCATATTTCACTAATATGATAATGTTTAAACTAGTTTCTAGTTTAAAAGCTATATAATAAAAAATTAAGCAAAATAAATTTAATTAACTTTATAAAATTAATATAACATTAATTAATCTGTTTCTTCTTCAACTTTTTGGAAATAAAAAATAGGTTCAGCATTAATAGGTTATAAACTAATATACCTATCATAATTATTTATTAAAGTTAAATTATTAAGAATTAACTTTTCTCTTTTTTTACATTAATTAGTATTAACTTTTTGATTAGTTTCTGATCTAAAAATCTAAACATTAAATCTTCTATCAGGTTTTTTTTAAAGTTATCTATTATTAAGTTTGAATATTCAATATTATAAAAAAAAATCTGATATAATAGTCTTATTAGAGTATTACTATCTATCTTTTAATGATTAAAAATTGAATAATTTTATTAATTGTTAGAGTATCAGTTCCTTTAAATTTATTTAAGCTAAGATTATAAAATGCTTGATTTTTCTATTAAAGTCTTTCCATTAATTTAGAATAATAGTTTCTTATTGAATATCTATATCTTTAATAATAAAATTGTCAATTAAGTATCATCTAATTATTATAATAGCTATTTAAACAGAAATTATTAAGTATTCTTAACTATTTCATTATTTTATTGTAGTAATATATTTTAATAATTATTAATTTAACTCAGTTTCTGTTGCAATTTTATCAATTTTTTCAATAAAACCTGCTTTACAGTAAAATTTTTTTAATAAAATACCCAATTTTAGTAGAAGTTTTAATGTTTTTATTTCACTAATTTTTTTAAGAATTCTGCATATTCATGAAAAATAATGGTTTCAGATAGCTAAAATAAAAAAATATAAAATATATTAGATATATTAAATAAAATAAAAAAATAATAATTAAAATATGAATAATATTTACTAGCTATTTGGGTATATTTATTATTGTCTTGTGTATTTCTGTAATATTCTTTAAAATGAATAAGTTTATTTTAGAAAAAAAGAGAAAAATGAAATAATTTATAAAACTAAAAAGCAAAAAATTTATTTATAGTATTTATAGTCTAAAAAAGCTTATTTAATTTGTAATATTATAATGTGTAAAAGTTTGATAAACTAAATGAAAGCTTATTATAATGCAATAAAAATTCTTATTTTTATTAAAAAACTAATTAGGTAAAATCTTTGAATTCTTAACATAATATAATTATTAGATGATTAAACTAAATAATAGTCTAATATAACACTTTGTGTCACTATTAGACTATTATTTAATTAATTATCTAATAATATATAATAATTAAATATTTTCAATTATATAGATATTGGTATTAAATAATTCCACTTTATATAGTCAAAGCTATGGTCATTTCCAAAAAAAAAGAAATAAGTATAATTTAGTTAGTTTCATATAGAAATTATAAGAGTTATTTTTATTATATTAATAAATTGATATTGATAGGAATAACAGTTTTTTATATATAATTTTAAAAAAAATAATTGAGATAGAAGAATCACATGAATAATTAAGAAAAGTTTTTTTTATAATTTTTATTATATAAAAAAAAATAAAATTATAAATAATAATTATGATTATATAATTAAAGTAATGATAAAATCTAAGAATTCATTAAAAAATTATACTGTGATAATAAAATCTTATTTTATCTAATAATTTTAACTGAACAGATAAATCATTCTAACCTAAAAAATAAAAAGTTCATTAACAATCTAACTCAAACTGCTTAAAAGAATTAAAATAAATAAATAAGATAAAATTTCCTTTTGAAAAATATTATTATCGTTAATATTTATTCTTCATCTTATATGACAATTATATTATATTCATTACCGCTAATCGATTCAATATGTCTATTAGATTTTTTAGCGATGAGTGATTTTAGTAATTGATAAATTAATTTACTACAAATTGCTTCACGAATATCGTGCTTTGGAGGATCATCTAGTGAAGATAATCCCAAAAAATATAAACACCATAATATTTTCTTCTATTTCAGTTAACAAATCATGGTTTTGTAAGAATTGCTTAAAATTAGTTAATTATAATTATCGAGAAAACAAACAATAAAGTTAAAATTACAAGCGTTTAAAATCTTTATGTTATGCAAGGCAAAAAATTATTTGAATTTTATAATAACGATATAATCAGACCACAAATTTCATAATTTGTTTGTTTTATGTCAACTTCAACGATCCTAAGAATTTCTAAAAAAAGACTACCCAATGGTAATTTATTGGCACCGATAGAAAATTAATGGAATATCGAATGAAAATGATAGCTAAAAATTAGAATGGTTATTGACGGAGGAATGGGAAAATATTAATTTATTATAATAAATTCTTGCTTTAGAATTATTAAACACGTGACATATAAATTATTAACATGTAAATTCTTTTTAATGTACTATATTTATTCAATCATTATGATCCTTTTTTGATATTGACATGATAATATTTTCTTGATGAAGTAATAAGTAAATTAACAAATTTCTAATAAATATTTTTTTTTGATTCAAAGGTATAGTTTGAATTTGTTAAATAAGAAAAGTTTTTAGTTGATAGGAAGAGAAGTTGAGATCCAAGTGACCAAAAAAAAAAAGCTAAGTTCACCAAGTTTGTGACCAAGAATTAGTCTAACGAGAGAATCTCGCAACTCGTCCTTATAAGAGAATTTGGTAATCTAATATCCTTGATATGATATTATCTCAAGGAATCTAAAGTTTTTGAATTCATCCGAATATTTTTGAATTCTTTATCATGCCAGAAAATGCACAACATTTAGTTTTCTGTTTTGCATTTTTGCAAGGATAATATGGAATTTTGGTAATATTGTCCTCGCGTGAAAAAGCACATCCCAAATCACCATTAGACAAAGACGTTCAAGTTCAGCATAGTCAAAGAACCTTTAGAAATGCTCGTTTAAAATTGATGAGACGTTGTTGCTAAAAATTTGAGCACAGCCGAGGAATTTGATTACCACTTTGCTTAATTACCAAATCACTATAATAGTGATGGTAATTTCCATCTTTCAAAGTGCCATTGGCCTATTATTCCATGCTTGCTAACCAATTATATAGGATTCGGTTCATCTCTGCATCATAGACACTTTTACTAGGAACTTTTGTATATAGTTTATATTGCTTATAATCTATTCGTAAATGTTTTGATTTCTACAGGAACGGGAAGAATCTATTTTAATAATATCCTTGTCAAATATTTGTACAGCAAACTTTATAACTTCAAGAATATCTAAACCATCGTCTTGCAAAGAACTCCTTCGTCAGGAACAAAGCAAGTCATTTCAGTAATTATTAATGAAGTGCTTATTAAAACTAATGCACTTTCTTTTTTCCTTTAGGGGACGATGACGAGGTTGATAACGAAGTCGGTAATGTTGATTGTTTTCGTAAACCATTATTAGCTTTAATAACATCAGCCTTTATAAAGGATAACTGGATTCATGAAAGAATAATTAGATTAATTAGATTAAGATGGATGGCTAGATGTTGGATATACTGTACATACAATTAAGTTTATGTAAATAAAAGATACCAAATTCTTCCAGAATCAGTAGATCTTTATGAGACATATCTACATCATCATTGATATGATATCTAAGAGGTAATCTTCAGTTTGAATATGGGAATTCTCCTTCGGAATATGATGTCTCAATTGACACTTCGGAAGAAGTAGCTCCCTTCTCTCACGACTTGTGGAAAGCATAATGGGAATCCATTTTGTCAACGTGGTCATAATTATTAACTAATAAGATTACATAATTATGGAATAAAATCAAAGGTAATTAAAGAAATTTGAAATATCTGTAAAAATAGTTAAATTTTGTAAGGATCAAATTTACCTTTTGATATTCTTATCTTTCAAGAATAGACGCGTTAACTTGTTATTCGAGTCACAAATTAATGTGATTTTAATATCTTGCTCACTGTATTTTTCAAATTTTCATAATTTTATATACTTTAGTAAGAGGTTGTAAAAGGAAACGTTTCAAAATTTTCAAATTTAAAGACTATTTTGACCTTACAAATTGAAGCCCCAAGCGATATAACAGCCGAAACCATTTGTAAGACTTTACCACCTGGCAGCAGTGACCAAGAGTAAACGATACGGTATGTCAATATGGAATATCTCGCCGAACGATAACGGAGTTAACCACCTATCGGAACGACACATGATGGAATAAAGATAACAGAAATAAAATCTGGAAAGGATAGAGTTTATTAGAAAGGTTTGAAAAATAAATAAAATAATAAAATCTACAATTTGACAGCGAGTACTTACTAATTTTTTTTTTTTTTTTTATAGCGAGTACAAACTCAAATTTGTTAAAATCGTGAGAAGTGACAGATCTATACAACCACAAAATTAGCTTGTATCACCATATAAAATTTATGGCGTCGACTCGTTGAATTTATTAATTCCGATCCACATGAAAAACATTATTTACTATTTATATCAATAAATATATATTAATTTTGTTAAAATTTTTTTAAAATATCAGCATCATTCTATTCTTTAATTTTTTGGATATTATTTGATGTCTAAAGTTTTATCTATTTTAATTATTATATTATTTGATTATGTATTTAACAAAGATAATAAAAGGATTGCTAGAATATGCATGTAACTTTTACTTTAACTTAATTAAGTATTATAATTTGGCTAAAAAAAAAGAACTTTTATAATAATTTTTAAAAAAAAATTGGCATTGCATGATTGGTTAAAACAGATTCTTTATATCTGAAATTGGAATTCACGGCATATATCTTACCAAATTATAATTTCGCGGAATCGAAAATTTTAAAGTAAATTTCGTTCCATTTGGAATTGGACTGATATACTTTGTAACATCACAATCGGAACCATCAGAAAATATATAGTATATGACTATTTAAAACTCCGGTAACGATCAAACTTTTGATTCCTACACCAGTTTGACAACATTGCATCGATTACCGAATATAAGACAAACTGCCGTAACCCATATCATTCATGAATTGATGTAGAATAGCGTTGACAATGGAAAATGTAGCAAATAGAATGAGTACCTAAGCAAAGTTAAGCTTTATAAATTATAAATTTTCTTAAGATAAATTAATAAAATTTTAATAAATAAGCCAAAGTAAAAGTACAAATTTTGAATCCTAATCCGGCCCAGATTTTAAATTAAGTATTAAATTATCAGCCTAATCTGATCCGAACTTAAATAAAATATCTGCTAAGCTTAAGGCCAGATTTAATATAAATACTAAAAACTGTAATATATATTTATTATACAAATTTTATTGCAAATAAAAACCAAGAAAATATTGAAACACATTATTTAATCTAAAATACTATTTGATTGTCTTTGTGAGTAAATAATTTTATCAAAACTTCACCTTTCTGCGTATATAAATTACATAAATTTTAGCCTTATTTATTTAAACACAAAGTAAATGCTTGAACTGAATCCTTTTAATTCTTTAGAAATTATAAGCTGGATTACTAAAGTTATATTATCGGATATTATATTTTCTTTTAGAAATATTTTCAGGTCTTTCTGAGTCTTCTTTACGGAAATCTTAAATGATTTTTTTGTAGAAAAGGTCGGTTTTCATTTTAATTATAACTGATTACTATATTTTATCGAAATACATTAAATTATTTTACCACGCATGGATAAATAAAATATCACGGATTATTAAATAAATCAAATATTATAGTTACAGATGCAAAGTTAATCCAAGATATTGTTTTAAATGATAGATACTATTATTTAAACCTCTTACTTTCGCATGATTAGAATATGGATGCAACATTTGCTCACGTAGCTGCTTTATTAAAAGTTTATTTATTATATTTTCGTGCAGACATATTTTAGAACTTTGGTCAAACAAAAATAACTTTTTTTGTATAAGTAAAAGTTGGTTAACAGATGTGGAAATATTGTAGATATTAATTTTCATCCTGCTTAAGTGAGTATTTTCTTTTTGTTATACATGAAATTAAAGATGGAGAAGTGTCAGCATTGAGGTACGTGTAATGCAAAAACTAACAAATTCAATATTTTATGATAATTCAAATAAATTTCTTTTATATATACGTATAAAAAAAATTATTTTTTCCTATAATTATTTTTCTTTTTTTTTATAATCGTTCTTTGAAAGAAGGATCAAAATAAAATTTTATAATTTGGGATAAAAAAAAATACATGTATATATTTTGAAAGGAAGAAAATTTTTCATTTATCTTTGAGAACATCAAGAATGTTAAAATGCACTAAGTTGATCAAGACTTGAACCTTTAATATTGAATGCATAAATTTGCAACTCGTAAAATACATCACTTTATAGTGATTTATTTTGTTTTACGTGATATATACTATAAATTATATAACGTTACTAAAAGGTAGAATTATCATAATCGTTTTACGTTTTTATAGAGTGACCGTTAATTTCATCAAAACGGAGGCGGTACCCAGTACCTTTAATATTCTTTGCTGTGACATTCCCCAGAAAATTGGATTTTTGGTAATATAAATTTTTTTTTTTTAAAAAAAAAAAAAAGGTTCTACATTTTTTTTTTACGTGCCAAATTAACAAAACTTTGCAGAGATGATTATAAGGAGTTCTTTAGGCGAAATTGTCAACACGTGATTTTCACCGAGGCAAAAGTATTTAGTCAATGGATCTTGGAGATTAATTTTACAAATAAATAGTTACCATTCACATGAATAAAAGATGAAAGCACAAACTTCTTTTTATTCCATAGAGTTACGCTATTGGCTAAAATTTTATCATAATTAAAGAGATCGTTCAAGCACTTCATAAGAACTTCTGGGGTTTAAATCCCAGACTTTTGAACAGGACGGCGCCTCAATGGATGTGGAAACCAATCGGTACGGTACGAATCTTTTGTTCAGTATAGGGTTTCCGTTTGAATGCAAATTTCATTTAAATATTTCAAATGAATACGAAATTGATTTCGAAAAGAATATATAAAAAAAAAAAAAATAAATTACGAAAAAAAAAAATAAAAAAAAAAAAATTATAAAAATAAATAAAGTAAAATAAATAAAAAAAAGAATCGATCGAAGAAAAAAAAATATATATATATATTTTTTCGAAAAACCAAAAAAACAAAAAAAAATTAAAAAAAAAAATAAATCAATTTCGATATCCGTAATTCAGACGAAAATCAATTTCAGTCACAAATCCAAATCATTTCGATATTCAATTAATTATGATTATGTATTTTCGAATATTTGAATTTTATTTATTTACAAACAAATATTCGAATATACTATTTTCAAACGAAACCCCTAGTTCAACCAGGTTCTGAGAAATTTTTAACTAAAATTAATAATATCAAAAACTTAAATGCAATAAAAGTCTCAATTTAGTTAAAAAGTTCCCTGAACCTGACTGATTTTCCTAGCAATCAACCATGTAGTGATAATTAATACCAAGTTTTTCGTTTTAATAATTTTCTTTACTTTGATGAAAACGCCAAAAAAATAAATAGATCTTTGATTAATATTATTACTATATACGGTTTATTTTCTTCACTAATAATATAATATTTCTGATTAAATTTTTCCGTTTGATATTCGAAAGTTAATCATTTTTGAATAACGAACATCTGGTTCATATACTAAATTTAAAATGATTATCCATAATTTTAGAATCAATTTTGTGAAAGGGTTAAAATAATTGTTGATTTGGAATAAACCATTTTTTTTTTCTTATAAAAAGGCTTTGATTTCAATTACTCTTAATTTAAGAAATTAATTACTTTCATAAAGAATACTTACAATAAAATACTTTTGCAAAGAAATAACAATCATGAACAGCAATTTTATTTTAGTTTTCATTTTTTTAGCTACGCTTTCAATGGTCAATGCAATTCCGCGTCAACTTCTTCAAAAGAGAGCTACTACCTTTGGGGCATGCCCCGATCATGATGGGTCTACATCACCATCCACAATCTCCGTGGTACTTAATCCTGATCCTGTCGTTCCCGGAAAACCTAATACTTTTACTGTATCCGGAACTTTCAATTTAGATATAACAAATAAAACCAAAATTATTGTTAAGTATAGTGATTCTAAAACTAACATAGCCACACATAACTTTATTACACCAATTTGTACTGGAAATGCTTGTATAACTAAAGCTGGCTCTCCATTTAATATAAAAGCGACTCTTAATACACCATCAAAATTACCTAATCCATATGGCATCGCAGTTGGTGTTTTTGAGTACTCTGATACATATGGCGGTGACATAGTTCTTGGCTGTGCATTTGCAAATGTCACGGATGTACCTAATGGTGTAGCTGCGATGTTTCATTAGTTTGAAACAAAAACAGAGTAATTTAATTTGTTATTGATAGAATTTATTTACCTTAACTGACACTTAGAATATTTATAATTAAAGTCGTCTTATTTCAGATTAAATAAGGTGCTTTTAATACATGATAAATAATAATAAAGTTGCGAGTTAATTAACTAAAAAAGTTCATAAAATTTATAAAGCTAATTTTTTTTTTTTTTTTGGCCGTACTTTTTAGAAATTTGTGTTACACTAACAATCGACCAATTTTCATTCATGAGACAAAGATTGAGGTTGGAATTTAGTTTATGAAAATTGCAATATTAACCAAATATGTACTAGTTTTCGAATTCCTCTTTGGATTCGTTCGTAAAGCCATTACACCCGATATTTCAGTTTAAATAATAAAAGTGTGGGTACAATCTTTTAGATTTCAATGTATTAAAAGAACAATTAATAATTGAAAATAATAAAAAAGATTTTTTAAATTAACGACCATGAATCCAATGCCCTATAAAAACGCATTATCCATAAATCATATATAAAATGGGGTATCCGGACGTTTCGCCGAAACCCACTTCGCCGAAGCTAATTCACCGAAAGGACTCTTCGCAGAAACGACCACTTAGTAGGGCTCTTAATCGAATCGAGTAGGATCGATGATTGATTGAGTCAATCAATTTTTCGATCACAGATTATTGGATTCGATCAAAATTGGACTAACTTTAATTGATTTATAATCGATTAAATTTCCTATAGTTGATCGATCAACAATTACTTTACGATCGATTATGTATAATATCGTTATAATTTGTATAAAAAAAATTCTTGATATTTTACATTTATTTGTAGTTACATGTATTATTTTTTTTTTTTGTCAGAAAACGCACTTCAGAGTATCGGAGTCTTTATTTATTATATTTATAATATTAAAATTTTGAATATTATAAGATCAGATCAACGCATGCAATTAATTTTAACGTTTTAACGTGAAAAACTTTTAATTTAATAACCTCTAAAATGCTAGACCAAACAATAAAATTATTTCAACCCAGCCAACTAAGAAAAATAATAATATTGATTTTTCTTCAGATATTAATCAGCTTGGATAATATTAGAACCCACAAGTTTTACCTGTAATGAATCCATTTCAATGGTGGATTGATAATAAACAGAAGTTTCCAACTTTATTTAAAATAGCTAGAAAATATTTTGGTGTTATAGCCACTTCTGTTCCAAGTTAACGGGCTTCTTAGTGATGATGTGTATCAAATTACTAATGAATAGACCAGTTTAAAGCCAAAGATGGTTAATAAATTATTATTAGTAAAACGAAAAAAATAAATATTAAATCTTTTTAGGAATTTTAATTGTTAAATTTGATTACAATATTGTAATAACTATAAATCGATCAATTTAAAATCGATACTCTTATTATTTGATCGAACAATGCATTCGATTAAGGAATCGATCACACGTGTTCAATTAAGTAATTCGATTTTTAGTCGATCATGTGAGTGAGGGACCGATCAAATCATCGATTATGACATTTTTCATCAATTAAATGCCCTACCACTTCGCCGAATTGACTTTTCACTGTAAGACGTTTTAGCCGGAAGGACACTTCGCCGAAATGCCGTTTTGCCGAATCCTTTTTGCCGAACGGACACATCGCCGAATCTGTTTTACCGAAAGGACATTTCGCCCAAAATGACTACTGCGTAACATTTGTTTACAGTTACAGCTAATTTCATAAGTCACGGGACAGCCGATAATATCCGAGACTTTTCCGAGAAAATTTGAAAAAGCAAATCACATTTCATATGGGTAAAAAAATTATGTCGCTATATTCGGAATACTGATCCGAACGTAGCGATAATGTTTTTTCTTCAAAAAATTCTATTATCGATCTGCAAAATGATCGTCCGTCCCGTGACTTTCAAAATTAGCTGTAAATTCGGTCAGTTAACCGGTCGGTCACGACTTTCCGTTACCATCCATATTTAGAATGGATAACTTCAAGCCTGAGATTTCAAAACTAATGTTTGGTTATTTACTTTCGTACGTTGAAAAAAATAAATTATGAATAAACTTGGAAATTAACCAACCAGAAATTCGAATTTTAGTAGTTCAGTACCATAATTGACTTTCCCATAATTATTTTATTTGTCGAAAACGACTGAGAATTCTATGACCCAGTTTGATTCCTTGATGCGAGCCAGTTTGATTTCTCGTCGCAATTAAGGAATTAATTATTACGACCTATGATTGGTTGGGCGACACGTGCAACTGAAAATCATTTCACTAAAAAAAAAAAGAGTATATCTGAGAAATATTTTGGCATTTCTGTAACCGAAGAGATTTGTCTTTACAGAAAGAGACCTTTCAATATATGTAATAAAAACGATAATAACGACCGAATTCCAAACAAGTAAAACTTATTAAGAAATTCAGTCGAATTGGAACATAAGCGGTTTGATATCTTCTTTAGATTGCAAAACAGGCATATAAATCTATAGGGCACGACAGTAATCAGGTCTTTGAAGAAATATAATAACTTTAATGTCCTTTTGATAGTTTATATCGCAAATGTTATTTTTTCTTGAAATAATTTGAACACTAGTGTTGCTTTGGAGTATTTATGGAATGGAGGATGATAGACTTAGAATTCGACCCGTGTGTGTCTCTTAATAATTAATATATGGAGTCCCAACAAGTCTTTTTTATTTAAAGACTTGGCTAAAATTTTCCTTAATTAACGTAAATCACATTTGTCATTAACTATTTCTTCCTGTTCATCTCAGCATAATTTGTAACAACTTTATAGATTCATCTAGGCTTAGCTTTTATATGTTTGAAGATAAATATATTTACTCACGCCGTATGAACCCGAGTTTAATTGTTATTAAAGTTTATAAGTAAAAATGGCGATTTAAAGTTAGTAATATCATCGCTCGTGAAAGTTTCACTTCCATTATTTATTTACCGGTAATCTTAAACTTTGTTTTAAATTTTAACATGATATGATTTAAATTTGGATGCTCTAACTTGAAAATGATCGATTTTATGAGTTAATGTTTTCGATGCAAATTTTAAAGTTAAACTTAGTCCGATAAAAACGTTATGGAGAAAATGTTAAACTTAAAATCTATCACAATAATTACTACTATCTGTCTCCTTCCCAGAATAAAATGGAAGCCGGATTTATTTTTTGATATTATCTCGAAACCGAGCCAAATATCCCACGATTCTATTTAATAACCCTTCACGTTTTTTTTTGTGTTTCTTTAAAATAATGCCAAAAGCAAAACAAACTACATTTATGAAAACCATTACAAAACTTGTAATTAAAGTGAACAAAGCAATATTTGTTATAATCTGTTGTTGTTGATGTTATGGCATACATTATCTATAGAACATGAAATCAATTTCATTAAGTGATTAATAAAATACAATGAAATAAAATCATGTTAAAGTTTACCTGTATTACTAATTGTGGTATGTCTTCAATAATTACGTTTAAAATTAAACCCTGAAATATCAAATGTTCATTTTGAAATGGAGCATTAAATATTTTAAGGTTAGCAAACTTTGAATCCAGTAAATGAAGTAGTCCAACATCTCCTACACAAAAAACCACAATTGCTGAAGCTAATTTTAAATTTTTCTCAAACCAATCTTTGAATTTAATATTGCATTTATTCTCATGCTTCAATATATAAATTGCCAAAACAAAATTCACCAGAAATGGGACAATCGTGAAAGTAATACTGAAAATTGAAACAAATTATAATTAATACGATATTAATTAAATTTGAGTAAATCATATAAATACCTTGGGATTAACAAATCATGCAAATTATCCTTAAGTTTAAAAAGAAATATAATATCATTGGCAATATCAAATAAAGTAAAAGCGGCTATAAATATTATCAAATTATTTGCATTCTATAATAAAAATTACACATTATTAATTCAAGAAACATTTATTCAACGTAATTATAAAAATACTGCATACCTTATTTAAAAAATAACCTCCGAGTGTTAGAATAATTAACAAAACTAAAGTAAATATAAAAACTGATAAAAATACTCTATTTTTTTTTAGGTTTAATAAATTGATTTTAATTTCTTCCCATAAATTAGCTAAGAAAATAAAATCATAATGTTATTATTAGATCAATTAGGGAAAATTCATTTACAATACGCACATGCTTTACGAAGTCCGAACCATTTATCTATATATTTTGTGTGATTTTTAAGGTCCAAGTATGTTTTAATGTCACTATTGATTTTTAATAATTTGTCAAAATCATCAAAAACATCTTTGGCACTTTTATTATTAAATCCACCTATGGGAGGATTAATCCTAAATATCACATAAAGTAATTCTTCGTTGTCGGCTTTATCAAATTCAAAATAATGTCGCGAATAATGTAATCTTAAAAGGTCTACTGGAATGCTTTCCGAAATTTGTTTTATAATTTCGTCAAAATATTTTCTATCATCTGTATTATCTTTTAAATTCTTATAATATTGTGTGCCTTCAATGGTTAATCGTATGACTCCATATATTATCTCTAAAAGTTAAAGTAAATAAAATATTCAGCTATCAAAAGAAAGAAAGAATAGATATATTACTTACCAGAATCATCATTAGTTTTGTTGTATTCTGGAATATATATATTTAATATAAATGATGATTTAACTAATTAAAATTGATAAAGAATTGATTTGCATACCTCCTGTCGTTTTGATTATCCAATTGCCTAGCTTTATACCAGTAATCATTTCACTCTCATCCTTATACTTTAGAAAGTCATCATCAATTTCGACATAATAGGTGGCATTTGGTACATTAAAGGTTATATCAAGTAAAACAATGGTAAGCGAATCATCATTGTCACCAATCACGCAATTTTGTTTGGAACATAAAAATATTTGCCGTAAAAGGTTTGTGTCATCATGTTTTAGATATATCGATATATTAACGGGAACTGTTGACTCAACAGCACGGGAAAAGGTCATATTCATTGTATTTGTGCCAATAGGAATCGGATCATTCATTGACGGATATATTTTTTTAATTTGGTCATTGTCCTCTAATAATCAAATAAATTGATCGATAAAATGTCAACAGATTCTAATGCTATTACGAACAAGCATATACTTACTTGGAAAGGCTGTTTGGAATTGGATAGACAAGATTAGGAATAAGGTTACAATAAAAATGGTTATCCCCATGGTTAATTTTAAGCGAAAATTGGTAAATGAGGTTGTATTTATAAAAAAAAAAAATCACTATGCTATTATTGTTATTTAAAGCCATATCCGGAAAACGGTTGACGTATTTATTACATAAATTATGTGTTTTGTTGAAAATAAGAAATTAAAAAATTATAATTTTATTTTTACCCTTTATAGTGTACTTAATAAGACGTAAAAATATGAACTAACTGTTCCTTTCAAGATAATCTTAATTGGAGACTTGGCTAAAAAAAAAAAATTTCTTTATTCTATTACCTAAAAAGTCCAATAAGAAAATTGAATGTATACCGATATTTATCAAAGTGAATAATTACCAAATTCATTATTGTGCATGAAAAGTTTTTCAAAAAATAAGTTAGTGAGCATACAAGTACATAGTCGTACAAAATGAATCCTTTTTAAGATTGCTGATCTTTACAAATAAATTAAAAATCATCATCATCATATGCTAGAGGTTGGAACCGGCCGAAAATACTTTAACCGGTTAAAATTAGCTTTGGCCAGTACTATAATTTGGTCAGAGTTAGACAATAATTTGCAATCATAAAAATCTTAATTCTGGCCGGAAATTGAATTTCGGCCGGATTAAATTCATTTATTTTAACCGGTTAAAAAAATCTTTAACCGGTTAATTAACTGGTTAAAAATTAACCGGTTCCAACCTCTATCATATGCAATTAAATGTAGGGCGCAATATGTGCATATTCTACCGAAAATGACATTTGCCATAGCAAAAAAATATCTAGCAATTCGAATAGAATTGCACCAGCCGGAAGGAGGTTTCTTCAAAACAATAATTAAAATATAGAAATTTATTTAATATAAAGATTTCATGATTTCGTCTGTAGCTTTTTCTGCTTTTTGTTGAACATATATGGGCGAAATTGAAGTTACTTCTGCATTTAAATATTTGTTTTATCTTTCTCATTATCAGCTTTAATATCTCTTATTTTTGAAAGCTAAATAGATGTAAAAAACTCTATAAAACGTTTTTATAATTGCCACTCAAGATAAAAATATTCGCATTCAAAATAAATCAGATTAAAGATACTGTAATTGAAAGAACTTTACAAAATTGTAAATTTACGATAATAATCTGATAGCGGTCACTGGTGTTAGACCTGGAATTGTACCGAAACCAAGCTAGCAAACTAATAATATTAATAACACGATTATCTCGAAGGCCTTTCTTAAGATAAATTAACGATTGACAATTAAAACGATTTATTATCACGATCAATCCTATGATGAAGACAAGAAGAAGGTTGAAAGTGTATAACTTTATTAATCTGTAGAGTTATAAGTCTAGTCCCAAGACTTATCTCAATCTATGAGCAAAACTCTGTCTACTCAAGGTCAACTTACAGGTCTATTTATATAACTTCTAACTAGTACTATATACTACGCTTTTTAATAATAATAAATGATACATGTGATGAAAACTTTCGATATAAATGAATTAAATTAATAAATAACTTTAACATTTATCATTAATTACATACCTTTCACCTAAGAACCATAACATATCAACGGATCCATATGCTACACGAATCAAGTTAAAATGACTTTGTCGGCGGTGTTTCTCGTGTTATCATGGAGCATAGTATCAGATGAGAATTATATGACCGTGTTGCAATTGCGGTTAATAGTTCTGAAATGATAATAATTAATTATGCGAGATATAAGTGTTGATTATAAAGCAATACTCTGTTTGTTTAATCGTAAGCTCAGTCAAACGTACGGCACACATGCGAACCCGTTCATCCAAACTAACATTATAAAGTTACTTTTAAGTGCTTGAGCAGAGTTTAGGTTAGGCAGCCGTTTTGATACAATCATCTTGTTTTATAGTTTGTAAATGCGATGGTTATAGGGTGGACGATCGGGTAAGCAACCTTATATCTAGATTCGAGCTGATCAAATTATAAAAAAAAGGGGGAATTTCGAAAATTTAGATATTATACCCTGAATTGTAACGAGATCTACCGCTGGATATAAAGTTTGTACTAAAAAATAAAAGTAAAATTATTGACGGACCTTTTATTTCAAAAAAAGGACTGTATATTTTACAATTGAAAACAACAATTAATAGTTGATTTCTTAAAATTTTTATTGTTAGATCAAATAATAATAAAAACGCATAATCAAAGGATTCACAGCTAGATCATGATAGCTTATCATTTTTTTGGTAGTTAGAATCGTATCAAGAAACTTTTGATACTCCGGATCCTTATATAAATCAATACTAGAGATTCGATAAGCGAAATTATTTAATCGCGAATTCTTTCATAATTTGAAATGTAACATCAAGATTTTGCATACTACTGTTTGAAATCAATGATTTCTTTAATCCTTGTATTGAACAAAAAGATCCTTCGGATCTATTGAAAAATTTAAATCCAAATATTCCAACGAATTTGGTAATTTTGAACCAAAATTCCGTAAAATCTTTGAATTATTTGTTTGATATACATGATCCATGTAAGTCAAATTGCGAAAGGTTAGGTACTTTATTTGATTCTTATTATTGGTGATTATCTTATAAATAGAGAGATGTATTTATAATTAAGTAACTCAACTTTAAGGAATACAAACTTATCATAATGATTCGCGATGCTTTCAAAGACCTTTTTCCTCTCAGAATCTTCTTGATTTCTATCTCCAAATTTTCTAGACACGGACCAATTTTTTGAAATAACAGGGCACTTCCATAGACTTCTTCGCCTAGAATGCTCAATGTCTTAATCCTCATTAGCGTTAAACTGTTAACTAAGGATTGAAAAACTTCTTCCGTTAAAGTCACGTGAGGTGTACAAGTCGAGGAATGACATATTCCTTGTAAAATGACAATTATTAAACTCAATTGATCTCAATGTGTTTGAGATGTATTAAAGGTGTCTAATAAATGATTATTCAAGAATATAAAATTTAATGTAAGATGCGTAAGCTTCCTTTGCATTTGAAATAAATTTTCGACGTACTTTTCACATTGTCTGCATACGTGGATGCAAAATTTTGTGACCGTAGATGTTAACGATGGGAAAGTTAAAAAACCTTTTAATTAACAATTTCATAATCCATTATCAATTTGAAATTCTCTGTACTTGAAAAGAACGTGGGTTTTTCTTAATCAATTCATACATAATCAAAAAGAATTTTCGAGTACTGATCTTTATTTCTAGATTATATGGGAGGTTTGCTATTAAAATCGAGTTACGAACATAGCAAATCATATATCCGTAACGTGATTTTAATAGCAAATCTCCCATATAACGATACGTCGTTTATGATAAATAATTTCAATAAGAATTTGCAAATAAGAAATTTATTTACATCGAGATGATAATGGTATTCTCCATATAACAAAAGAATATTTTAACTTAATTTGAAAAGGCAGGTTTGTTGTTTTGATTGATTATCCAACCAATTAATTATATGAAATTTCATCCTAGATTAAGGTTGCCGGGCCAAACTCGGAGGTTTCGACGGGCATCGAAATCGAAACCCGTCGAAACGTTTTGCCAAATATTTTTATTAAAGACAAAATTGCGAAAGTTTCGAAGGATGGCAAAAGTTTCGACGGATGGCAAAACCTTCTGATATTAAAATAGAATTTTTGAATTTTTGTATTTATTATTTTTGTTTAACGAGATAAGAAAATCGTATATTTAAAAAAATAAAACATTTAAATAACTTTTATTCCTTTGAGGTAGATTCCTCCTCTACCTTTACTTCTACCTTATCCTCCTCCTTATCCTCCATCTCTTAGTATTAGTGTTAGTGTTAGTGTCAGTATTAGTATAAGGTATATAAAATGGCCGGTCTTTGGAGGTACACGAATCGCCTAAAACTAAATTTTTTTTACCGTAGCACAGATCCTCCTTTAATATATCTAGTGGTGTGCCTCAAATACAGTACATACAAACGGTACTATTACATTCTGTTATCGTTCGTTATACAAGTAATTTGGTTAAAATAATTTTTTTTTTAAAAAAAAAAAACTTTTTTTTATTATAAATTTTAACAATGTCTAATGGTAAGAGTGTAATAAAGAAACTAAAAAATATTTTCACCAAGCACGATAAAGGAATAAAAGGTATGAAGCTTTGGATGACTAAAATGAGTTAATTTGACGGGTTGATGATATTCTAAAAATTTTTCTTTTTTTTTTTTTTCATGAATTATCATTAGAACCAGTTTCGGATGTTAAAAAAGCTTCCTCATTAGAAGGTAATACATGCCGTTAATTATACTCATTTTGTTTGCTAAAAATTAAATTTTATCAAATTCGAAAATAGAAACAGTTTCAATTGATAAAGATAAATACAACAATTTAACCAATACTAAAAGAATTTGTTAATTATATTTTATAATGTAGAATTGACATTGGATAATGAATGTGAATATAATAATTACCATAATTTACCATTTGTCATTTGTGTTTTTATTTAATAAAAATTTTAAATAAATTTGAAATATAGTATTAGTTTCAAGTGATAAAGGTAAATACAATAGAAAATATAATTAATCAACAAATATAATTATCTATTAATTAATTATACTCAATAAATGTCCAAGTATTAGAAATCCTAAATGGTAAAAAATATTTATAAATTGTCTAAATATTAGATTTTGCTCTAAACAATATTAATTAATTCCAAAATTTCCTCAAAAATAAATATTATAATAGAATCAGTTTCAGATAATCCTACATCAGAAGAATTAAATGGTAATAATTTTATTATTTATTTATTTATTTATATAATTATTTAATTATTAATATTTTTTTAAAAAAAATT